GTCAGCCCCTGCGTGCTGGCAGAGTACAGCGCAGGTCCCAGCTATGGCCGGCGCTCCGAAGGTCTGGCTATGCCTGTCTCCTTCCACGCTGAGCCGTCACCACTTCCGCTTCACGCGTAGCACAGCAGCGATGTACTCGGTACCAACTGCCAAAAGCCCTGAAACGCTGTCCCCAATCTATCTATTGACTACAACTAGCCTAGAGACCTAGACCGGACTGACTGACGGACTGGTACCGTTTCTGTTTCGGCCTCGCGGCCTCTACCGGACCCGGCTATAGACTATAGGACCATCTATCAGAATAGGCCCTTAGGGCCTGTCTGTCCTGAGGGTAGCCCGGGCCTGCTATGCGCAGTTAGGGTAGCTGTAGGGAAGTCGGTTAGTACCGGGCCTGCATTTTCCCGTATTTGCAGATACGTCCCTCACGATTTTCCCTCTCAGGTAGGTCTCTCGGTTAGCCCTCAGCCAAACAAAATTACGAATTTGTCCTACCTAAAGTACAGCCTCGACAGAGAGAGGCTACAGGCGACCAGGAAACAGCAAGTCATTGCAGACCTACCCTCCCCCGAAGTGAGGACCTCCGAGCTAGCGGCGTAGGCGTGCAGAGCGCCGAAGGGATACTCCCTTTTGTGCTGCCTCATATTTGAGGATTACAAACTTGGCCGTCTTCAAAAGTTCCTTGCGAGTAAACCAGCGGTCCTCAGTGTGTGGCTGGTACAAGAACTTCACAAGGTACTCCTTATCTGGACCTGTACCTGACTCATCCTCCACAGATTCGACCTCATACCCTCTGAGGAGGCCTGTCTGGGAATGCATCAGCTAGTGTGAATGGCAACAACTTAGATGCATGAAAGACAGGGTAGGTTTGTAGATGCAAGGGGCCATCCACTGTATAGGATGGTCCAAATGGATCAGCTCCCACTATATCTAAGACCTGCCATGGACCCATGTATCATGGCAGCAGCTTAGGCGAAATATCCTCCTCTCGCGACAGCTCAGAACTGAGTACCCACACCCAGTCACCTATGCGAATAGTAGAAGGATGCCTGTGCTTATTAGCCTGTTGAATCATAGCCTTTTGGGCTTTCAACAGGTTAGCACGGGCGCGCTCTATGTCCACACAGTAACGCCTGATGAACTCTGCAGTTCCAGGTGTCAGCGTAGAGGTAGCCTTGTCGATGATGTCATCGAGAGGCTGCCGTGGTTCACGACCCAGTGTAACCGGTAGGGTGTGAAGCCAATAGAGGAGTGTACAGACATGTTATACACAAGCTGTGCACGACTCAAATGGAGATCTCGGTCCTGCTGATCAAGATTGATCACAGGACGCAGCAGCTGGAAAAGAATCTGGTTTATCACTTTAGCCTTACCATTGCAGGATGACGACCAGATGTCATATCCAGGCGTGAATGAAGGTAATCCTTGCAGTAGGATTGTCATTCATTGTTGCAAAACCGGGGATCTCTATCACTGACAATAGAGGTGGGTGGTCCATGATGTGTAACCCACCTGTCAGCAAATGTCGCCTGCACGGCCGGCACACACGCCTCGGCTCGTAAGGGGATGAACTTTGCATATTTGGAGAACCCGTCCACACATACCATGACCTGACGCATACCACGAGGGGTAGTCCTACCTAAGTCAGTAAAATCAATAGACACTGACTATGCAGGAGGATCAAGGATGGGTAATGGTTTGAGTAGGCCAAGGGGAAGTCGACGTACAACCTTGTTCCTTTGGCATAACTCACAGGTTTCCACATAGTGCAGCATGTCACTCCTCATCTCCTTCCAGAAGAAGCGTTGCGACAGGGCTGCATAAGATTTGAGGGCCCCAAAGTGACCATGAGCATCATGACACTCTGACATCAACAGTGTCCTCAGCTTGCGGTCCTGGGGAATGCACAGGCGCTCCTCACCTCTGCTGCATGTATACAGCAGTCCTGAGACCAGAGTATATCCTGGTTCAGAGGCAGGATCGTCCTGGAGATTCCTAACAATAGGCCCAAAGATCTCATCCTGGGGCAGCAACTGGGCAATGGTCTGACGTGTCCTCTCTCCAAATGAGTGAGTGAAGGAGATCAGAAAAAGAGCGTCAGGCATCCGCTACTCGATTGTAGCAGCCCTTCTTGTGTCTCAGTTCAAAGTCAAACATGTCAATGAACTGAATGTAACGAGCAAGCTTGTCATTCAGCTCTCCCTGGGACTTCACCCACTGAAGGGTGGAGTGATCTGAAAAGATCTTGAAGTGCCTGCCCAAGAGAAAGTGTTTCCAATGCTTGAGCGCTGACACAAGAGCATAGAGTTCTTTCTCATAGGTGGAGTCCTGCAGCTTTTTGGTCTTGATCTTCTTGCTCATGTACTCAATAGGCTGCAGACCATTCCCATCATCCTGCTAAAGTACCGCCCCTACGCCCTACTGACTAGCATCAGTAGTAAGCACAAAAGGCAGGGTAGGGTCAGGTAGCTTCAAGACAGGGGCACAAATCAAGGCCTCCTTGAGACGTATGAAAGCCTCCTGACATTCTAATGTCCAAAGAAAGGAAGTGTCTTTCTTTGTGAGATCAATCAAGGGAGCTGCAATAGAAGAGAAGTTCTTAATGAACTTCCTATAGTACGATGCAAGCCCCAAGAATGACCGAACATCACGAATGTTAGCAGGTCGCGGCCAGTCCTGAACTGCAGCAACTTTCGTTGCTTCAAGAGCCAACCCCTCTCCAGAAATGACGTGACCCAGATAGACTACAGAGGGAACCCCGAAAGAGGATTTCTCCCTGTTGATCTTATACTGGTTATCACGTAAGGCCTGGAGGACCAGAGCCAGATGCTGCGCATGCTCCTGGACAGAACGACTGAATACCAAGATATCATCCAGGTAGACAACTACAAACTTGTCCACGTAAGGACTGAGTATGCGATGCATCTCTGTTTGGAAGGTGCCTAGAGCATTGCAGAGACCGAATGGTATAACCAGGTACTCATATGTGCCATACCTCGTTTTGAAGGCTGTCTTGTGGACATCGCCTTCAGCCATCTCAATCTGGTGATAGCCAGATTTGAGGTCGATCTTGCTAAAGATAGTACAGCCTTGTACCATATCCAATAGATCATCAATGCGAAGAAGAGGCTCTGTAGACTTCCTCGTGATTTTGTTGAGACCACGATAGTCCACGCACATCCTG